CTCTAGCTGCTCCCTGACCAGTACAGCAGAACCAGTGGGAGGGGGTCGGCCCAAGGTCACATGACTGGCAAGTGGGGCTGACTGCCACTCCCCAGCACCCACAGGAACCGCTCGTGGCTTGGACCCGATCATCCAAGTCCAGGCCACACTGACGGCAGCTCGGTCTCCACTGCTGCTGGCATTCTCATGATCTCTCACTTATCTCCTTTCCTGGTCCATCTCCACTTACCAGTCAGAAGAATCCTTCTGAGATCTAAGTTAGATCATGCCCCCCATCTCCTCAGAATCCCTTAGTGGCTCTTCAAAAACCCTACCTCTCTGCTCTCACCTCCTACCACCTTGCCCTCCACTATTCTCCACCCCAGCCACAAACCTCCCTGCCATGCCTTGATCATCCCCCCCACCAGGGCCTTTGCACTGTCTAGGCTTTTGCCCTGACTACTACCCCTCAGGTACCCATGTCACTTCCTTGCTTCTCTCTAACAGGACATTCCTATATATACACAGTTCATCGCCCTAGTGGACTGCAAACTCCTCGAGGACAGAAAGACCCATCTCTGTAACCACAACACCCAACACAGCACCTGGCCTACAGCTGCTGGCACTCGGTAAGGTCAGTGGAAGTCTCTGGTCTCCAAATAAGCCATGCTCCATCCTGCTGTCCCACCTTTACCCAAGTGCTGTCCCTTGATCACCGAAGTTGCCTGTTCTCTGCCCCCAACCAGCAAAATTGCTCCTCTTCCCAGATAATGTCCCCTGATTTGAGGCTGCAGAGAGCCTTCTGTCCTGACCCACCACTCATCCACGCACGTGTGAGCTTGTGCATTCAACCAGCATGGGGTGGGGGGGGACGACCCTGCCACTAGTGCAGGCCTGGCAGCAAGGTCTTCCCTCTCAAGGTGTTGGGACACAGATCACAGCCAAGAACACCCAAAAGATAGAATGTGATCAGTAATGCACATGGTGATAGGAGGGGGCAGCTAAACACTGGAGAATCAGGGCTTCTCTGAGGTCACAATTAAGCCAAAAATGTTAAGAAGGGGCAGCTGTGTGAAACATCAGGGAACGGCATTCTGGGCGGTAGAACAGCAAGTGCAAGGCTGTGTGGAGAGAACAAGCTTGTTGTGTTTAAGGAACGGAAGGTGAGAGGCAGGACAGTGCAGAGGGTGGGGCAGGAATGTGGGGCTGGGTAGGCAGAAAAGGGTAGAGCCTGGGGCGGGACAGCGGGCAAGGGGCTAAAGCACACAGGGCTTGTGAGCCGGATTAAAGAGCTTATTCTGTATAGGATGGGGCAGTTTAAGCAGAAAAGCACATGATTTTATACTTGCTTTGAAGAGCTCACTCTAGCTGTGGTGTGGAGAACAAGGTGGAGGGGCAGGGGTGGGAGCAGACAGATCAGAAGAAAGCTGAGGTCTTCCTGAAGAGAAGGGAGCTTCCAACATGGTATGATGGTGGAGGTTGGGTTGGCAGGGGAGAGAAAGGAAGGTGTCAAGGGCCCCTTCTCGATGCTGGGCTGGGGCAAGGGCATGGATGATGGGTGGGATGGGGAAGATGTGGGGAGGAGCTGGTTCAGTGCAGGGAAGGAGCGAGCAGAGAAGTCTGAGGCTATACTGCCTTCCAGTTTCAAGGTCACCGGTCCTGCCACTTCCAAGAGGCTGTAAGCTGCCTGAGAACTTTCTTGCTATGGACTCCACCTTCCCCGGACCTGGCTTCAAGTCTTAGATCTATGCTCAAGAAGAGACACCTCGGAGGAGGAGACCTGGGGCTTTGGGGACTAATATGTGAAAAGTGATGACCAGGGAACAGCACCCATGTTCTCTGAGTGACTCTGGGAAACTCCGTGAACTTCATTTCGGAGCAGGCTGAACATGGAACCCTGAATATGGACTCAGATCCTTACTTTGCCATGGACTGGGGGCAGCCAACCTCTCAGAGCCTCAGTGTCTCATCAGTCAAATGGGAATCCCATCACTCATATGCAATGAGCCTCTGGACAGCAAATAAGAAAACATACATGAAGTTGCCAGCCTCTAGGGGATGCTCAATAAATAACAGGGGCTGGCACTTAGGGAGAGCTTTCTAGGCTATAGGCAGTGTTCTAAACATGTTCACAGAGATTAGTTTGTACAATCTTCATGATAACCACATGAGGTGTGTATTAGTCAGTGTTCTCCAGAGAAACAGAACAGAATGTGTATATATAGAGAAAGAGACTTATTTTAAGGAACTGGCACACGTGATTGTGAGGGCTTGGTGAGCCCAAGTCTGATGGGGTAGGATAGGATGTTAGGCCGCAGACTTCAGTGCAGTTCAAGTCCAAAGGCAGTCTGGTAGCTTGATTCATTCTTTTGGGGGGAGGTCAGCCTTTGTTCTATTAAGGTCTTCAACCGATCAGAGGCCAACCCATGTTATGGAAGGTAATTTTTTTTTTTAATTTCTTTTCAGCGTAACAGTATTCATTGTTTTTGCACCACATCCAGTGCTCCATGCAATCCGTGCCCTCTCTAGTACCCACCACCTGGTTCCCCCAACCTCCCACTCCCCGCCCCTTCAAAACCCTCAGATTGTTTTTCAGAGTTATGGAAGGTAATTTGTTTGACTCCAAGTCCAGCAGATGTCCATCTCATCCAAAACCTACCTTGACAGAAACATCCAGAATAATGCTTCACCAAATATCTAAATACTATGGCCCACCACTGACGCATAAAATTAACCACTACAAGGTGGGTATGGATACTGTCCCCAATTTACAGAGGAGCGAACAGGCACAGAGAGGGTAAGAAATCTGCCCAAGGTCCCAGAGGAGGAATAGCAAGGCTTGACATTCCTGCTGTCTGGCTCCAGAACTTGCACTTTTAACCATGACACTAAGTGGCCATTATCATAAGCCAATGTAAATTAAATTTCTCTCTCCATCCTTTTCCTGGCCTGAGAGTGGAAGGCAGAGAAACCAGGGGAGGCCCTCCCTGGGTAAAGCAGCCTGGGTGGAGCCCTGCCTTATTTAGGAAGCAGTACAGAACCTGAGCCTCGGAGATGGGGGTGGGGGGAGATGGACAGTAGGGGGACCTGAGAGGTTATCTGGTCCCTTGACTTTCTAGAGGGGAAACTGAGGCCCAGAGTAGAGAAGGGACTCACCCAAGGTCCCAGGGCTTCAGAAAATACTGATGATTTCCAACTTATACTTGAGTTATTATGTCCTAGGGGCTACCCTACATGAAGTCCTTTAAACTGCTACATGTGAGGTAGATAATATGTAGAAAATGAGGAAACTGAGGCAGAGTTTAGAAACTTGTCTAAGGTCACGCACAGCAGAATCTGAGCCCAGGCACAGCTAGTACACTAGACCTCTGAGGCTCAGGCAAGGCTCTTGGGTGAGGGTGGGAGGTGCTGTGACAGAACACAATCCCAAGCGTGCCCCTCCTTCCCAGTTCTCCCTGCTTCCCACCCCCAGCTCTGACTGCAAGTGACAGCGGGCCCATATGCAATATACAATTCCTCAGATTCCTAATGCAGCCTCTCCCTTCTGTTCACGCAGGAAATATCCTTCTGCACCAGTGGGTGGGCAGACCTGAGACTCCCCCACCCCGCCCAGCTCATAGGCACATGCACACTCATCTCTTTCCACACTAGACACCTCCCAAACAGGGACACAAACACACATGAACACAGACTCTAACCAGATACATCCCAACACAGTGGCACACACACTCAACACCCGAGCGCCCTAAGGAGTTAACATACGCTCACGGCATACAACCAGGAAGACCCACACATGTCCAAACACAGCCCCACCTACACACATGCAACCCCCCCACAACCCGTACATAAACCAGGGTACAACTTTCCTGGTCCCAAGAAACATATCAGCAAGCGCTTGCACACACAAAACATACCAAGCCATACTCAGAAACACACATGACATACAACTCCATGTATCCCAACTCACATTCTATCCCTCATATATGGGCGCACACACCTCTGTGGATCTGCAGGTCAAGGCACTTGAATGGGTATCTTCCCAGGGGACTGATAGCTGGAGCCACGTGTTAATACATACTCCCATATCCCCGAGTGCCAGAACCCTCAGATGGCTGCTGGTCCCCTAACTCACCACCCCCATAAATATGGGCAACACATATGTCAACACAGATCGCTCAGTCTGCCACCTCCCCCCTGCCGCCCCCACCCCCGCCCCCCGGCCCCGCCGCCAGACACACAGTCCTAACTCATAGGGACCACCCTTCTCCAATGACCTATGCGTCACCCAGGCATGTGCAGAACCCCGCCTCCCCCACCCGGAGAGAATCCTTCTCTGACCCCAGCACACAGCGTCGGAGGACTCGCCCCGCCTCTCTCCCTGTCCCCATCCCCTTCGCAAACTCCGGGTGGACCCCGGCACCTGTCAGGCCAATGCCAGGGCGGGTACCCCCCCTCCCATCCCGGCCTCTGCTGGGATTACTGTACAGCCCCCACCTCCGCAGCAATGAGAAAGCGCTTAGAGGTGGGGGGAAAAGGAGAAGGTTTGCGTTGCAGGCGTTAAAAACTCACAGCCACTCAAGTAGGACCCCCTTTTCGGTCCAGGATCTCACCTTCGCGCACGGGAAAACCCTGCGTCTCTGTTAACCCCCTCATCACCGCCGCACCACCGGAAGGACCTAAGAAGTCACAGCAGTGCCCAGTAATAGGCACAGCAGCCCGCGGGGGGTGGGGGCAGGAGCCGGCTGCCAGGGTTGCGGGGGGGCCCTTCATAAGATACCCCCACATCCTTCCATGCACCCACCCGCATTCCCACGGGGAGAGACTGAGGGGCTCCGTGGGAGAAGGGGAAGGTGACAGTACCAGAGAGCTTAGGGGCCATGGGCTGGAGAGGGGGCCACCTGAAGGAAACACTGGGCGGTCGGCAAGGACAAGCCCCCCCTAAGTCCTCTGCAGGATCCGAGAGGCGCGAGCCCCAAGCGGGAGGGGAGGTTGGAAGGAAAAACGCCCGGAGGCTCCCTTACCTGATTTCCTCTTGGAACTGCCATAATCCCTGAAAAAGAAGCAACAACAGATAGACATGGTTAGGGCCGGGTAGGGCGCGGGGCTGCGGGGCTGCGGCTGCGGGGAGCCCACCGGCCGGCTGCGGTCGGTCCCCGGCACCACCGCTCATGTGATCCCAAGCGGCCCGCGAGCCGCGCGCTCCGCAGCCGCACGCACTGCGCGCCGCTCCTGCCCGCGGGTCCCCCCGCCAGCCCAACCCCCGGCGCGAGCCGCGGGCCCCGCCCCGCCCCCGGCCGGCCAGACAGGAGGATCTGGCGGGGGAAGGGGGCGGGGGGACACCTTCCCGGTCCTCAGCGGGTGGGGGAGGGCGGGGCAGGTTCTCACACTTTGTAAATAGGGAAACTGAGGCCCGGGGCGCCCGCGCCCCTCCCCTGCAGCGTTTCCCCTCCCAATTCTTTGCACCGCTTTCTCATGCCCACTCAGACTTCCAGTCACGACTGAAATGTCACCTCCTCAGCGTGTCTTCCCCAACATCCTCCCCATCTCCTCCTCTCCTCTGCATAATTACAGATTTGGGTGACCCTTTGATGAAAGTCTGCCCCTGCCCTGGACCCAAGGTTCTCTGAGGTCACACTGTGGCTTGACTCCTCCTATTACTTCCCCTGGGCCTGGTGTAGGTGTGGAGATAAACCGATTGCAGGCTGAATATTGAACAGATGTGGCTTTCACCTTAAAGGCTCGGCCTGGGAAACTGGAGATTCAGCGAGCCGTGAGGGAGGGCACAGCACAATTCGAGGGTAACTGTGAGGCTAGAAATAGTAAGAATGGAGCTTGAGCTTCTGAGGGAGAACTGGGTTCAAATCTCGTCAATGGCAATAATTCAACACCTCCAAGCCTCCTTTAAGCTGCCCTGGACTAAGCCCGGCTGGGGCCTGCTCGGCCCTCCAGCAAGGAATTAACCCAGGCTCCGGCTACTTCCCAAACCCCGCCCTTGTTCCTGCCTTTGGCCCCTCCCACCACCGCTGCCATTCGCGAATCATTCGGGGAGCGTCACAGGCCTCTGAAATGCTTAAGGTTCCTTGAGTGCTCAGGAGAGGCTGGCTGGAGATCTATCTGGAGACTAGAGGAAATGCCTTTATTTTCCCTGGGGGGATCAAAGAAAATGCCAATTGCCGGACTTTGGTGTAAGCGAACTGGCCAGCTAGGTCTGCCAGCTGGAAAGAAGTGATTTCGTGGGGGAAGGAACAGCAGGTTCATAAGAAAGGCCGTTAAACTCATGCAGACTCCCTGATTCTGGAGGTTTGGGGGGTAGCCTGAGCTTTTGGGGAGTTAAGCACCAAAGCGATTTGCTTGCACAGCCCAGGGTGAGGGGTTCCGCCTCTCCTAGGCTCCTGAGTTTTCTAAAGTTTGGGTTCAGACCCCCAGTGATTCAGAAAGGGGCTGAGGCCAAGGAACCGCATTTCTGATACCTTTCCCCTACCTGCCCATCTTAGTTTGAGAACTGCCCTAGTACTCCACGCTTCTTTCAGACCTCACATCCACACTAAGAGGAAGGTCCTATCACTCCCATTTTACAGATGAAGAAACAGAGGGTGAGCCACTGCCCAAGACCATCCAACTTGGGAAAGAGCAGTGGTGTATACACCCGCCTGCAAGAACAGAAACGGCAGGGTCCATGGGCTGGAGGCGGACCTGGTAAATCTGCTGCATTCGAAAGGAGTTAGGAAGGTGGGGAGTTCCCATCTGTCCCCCAAGCCTGACCTGGCAGGGCAGGCAAGCTCGTGTCCCTAGGACGGAAGGGAAGAGCAGGACAGACTTTCCTGGAGTGCCTGGAGCTCAGCTGTGGGGAGAATTCTCCGTGGAGAGGAGAGTGTTAGATGGTGGCTATGTCCTGCCCAGCCGACTTGCCACTCCTGGGGAGGAATTGATTCTCAGGCTTTTTTGCAGAGTGAGGGAGGCCTGGGAAAGGAGCTGTGTTCCTGCCGTTCCTGCAGGAGAAGCCTTCAGGGGCCTGGGACCACAAGGGCCCACTAACCATCCACGGGCTGCCCAAGGTCCTGGCGGGGACGGCTTCCTCTCAGCGCCATAGCCACCTTCCTTCTCTCTCATTTGTGCAGCTGCTGGCTCCCCAGGATTCGCTTTCAGCTTGTCAACAGCACCAAGAAGGGAGACAGGCAGGTCATTATCGGGTGACAGGGGGGCACACTGAGGACTGGAAGGGGGAGAGGGACATAATTCCCAGGTGCCGAGTGCCTCCTCTGTGACGTGCCCAGGTCAGCCATAGTCAGCTCGGTTATTCAACAAGCTCATCTGGGGAGCTGGTTACAAATTCAGATGTGGAGCTCCCCTAGCCCCCCCACCCCCAACCACACTGTCTGCATCTCTGACAAGTGTTGGCTGAGAACTCCACCCCTTCCCTACAGGCAGGAGTGGTACCGGGCAGCACTATACCATTGTCCCCATCAGGACCCAAGCCACTGCTAAGAAACTTTTCTGCTTAGTAAGAATGATGTGCTTGCAGTGCCAGAGAATCTTCCAGACAGATCCCCTGGCCAGCCCTTCCTTTAACCAAAGTATAAGCCCCTTCCACCTGGACCCCACTTTAGGAGGTGATGAGGTGGGCAAAGCTTAGAGAAGCTGACAACTTGTTCAAGGTCATACGATGAGCAGGGGTGAGGCTGGGATTGGGCACCGAGAACCCAGGCCTTCCTCCAGTGCTCAAATCCTCAAACACGGCCACCCTAGAGTTATGGGTGCAAGGAAGGGAGGGGAACAGCAGGTCTGTGGGGGCCTGAGAAGCACCTGGGTCAATGGAGGGGAGGCTCCCTGGCAGTAGGGGTGGCCGGGCTGTGACTGACTGGTGGGAGAGGCCAGTACAGGAATCCCTCACAGGGCACCTGGCCTCCAGCCCAAGCAGGCATGGCCCTAATAGGAAACCTCTTGCAGAGTTCTGGTTGGGCACTTTTGAGCAAAGGCATTTTGTATTTTCAGCCACTGAGTATGCTAGGCACTCCCTGATCCCTCACATATCAGGCATGGTGAGGGAAGGCAGGGGGTGCCCACCTCCAGCTGCCCTAGGCAGGACTGCAAGCCCCTCTGCTGGGGTTCAGCACCCTAGCAACTCAAGATCCCTTCCCACACTCCACCATTCCCCGGCACCCCCCCCTCCGGCTCCAATTCTTGCCCCCAGCTGGTGCTGATTGCCCCCACCCTGCCGGGGATTCTACCCAGGCATGTCCCAGTCTAGCTCCCTCCCAACCTGCTGCTGAATCACTATACACCGGGGAGCCACAGGAAGCAGAAGGGGAGGGGAAGGCCCGTCTCCCTCCAGTGCCGCCAGAAGCTAATGTAATTGCAAAGGCTTCCAGGCTGTATCCTGACTCGGTTCCATCAGTCTTCTCCTCAGCTGGTACTGAGGATGACTAAGACCCCAGGTACAGTGACCGGGCCATGCCAGCAGACTGGGACAGCTGGCCAGCCCCTGATCCATGGGTCTGGCCTGGTTGGGGAGAGCGGTGTGGAGTTCCTCCAGCACAGCACCATACCCCTCCCTCATCTCAACAGGGACTCCTGAGGCCTCCCCCGCCCCTCCCCCACAATCTCGGGATATAAACAGTTCATCTCCTGGCCCTGCTTTTAGGAACAATGACAGGTTCCAGAAGCAGACAGAGCCCAGTTCAACCCTCTGCTACGTGCTAACTGGTTGGCCATCTTGAGCCTCTGTTTCTCTATCTGTAGAATGGGGATAATAACAGTACCTTAAGATTCAGGGAAGATGAAATGTACAGTATGCATAAAAGGGCTTAGCATAGTGCCCCGGCCCAGAAAATGCCATATAAATTGTCTTTGCTATCTGTCTTTCACATCTGGAACTGACCCCACCTCAGTCGCTACCCAATTGACAAAGGCTTGTTTAAACTTGGACCTCACCTTGATGCTGGCAGCATAGTACCCAGCAGGGGCTACTCCAACCCCGTTTGCAGAGTTTTGGGCTTTCACAGACACAAAACAAGCACTACCCTCTGCTGAGCATGCCCCCCCCACCCCCAGAAAGACCCCGTTCCCCATGCACTGAACATCTGAACAGGGCCCATCTGGCCACAGTCGTATTTTCAGGGAGACACTGACCCCTAGGAATCGGCATGCCTGGACTCACTTATCGGGTGCCTTTAACCTTCCGGAGTGGCTTACTCCCTGAGCCCCAAGCCACAAGGCATAAAGGTCCTGCATTTTCATGCTACGGCTGAAGGGGGGCGGTCAAGCTTCATTTTCCTCCCTTTCCCCCCACTTTAATTTGCCCTGTGGTAAAAGGTCTGCTGCTTCCTCTTGGTAAGGTCTGCTGCTCTTGGTAAGGTCTGCTTGGTAAGGTCTCTTGGTAAGGTCTGCTGCTTCCTCCGACAACTTTCTAGTGAATAGGCTGGGCTGGAGATAGCAAAGGGCACGAGGCCGGAGCAGGGAGCGGGGGAGGCAGTTAACAATTCCTACCTGCTGGTCACCTGTCTTTGCACAAGCCTTCCACTCCTGCCCTCCCCTGAGAGTTCCCGGCATGCAAGGGACCATCAGTGCCCTGAAAGAGGCAGGGGTGGTGGGAACCCATTTTATGAATAGGAAGACTGAGCTCCTGAGGCCTTCTGAGGTTTGCCCAGCCTCCCCAAGCTGCAGTGACATTCCTGGTGGGGTACTCCCCACCCTGAGGCCCACTGGGGAGTGGGCTACAAGAAGGGGACGCTTGAGCAGCAGGGGAAGGCTCTTGCTGGGGGAAAGGAGGCAGCCGCCCCACCCGTCAGGGTCCCGGGGTGGGAGGAAAAGCCTGGGAGAGCCGCTGAGGGTCTGGCCAGGCCAGCTCTGCGGAAGGATGCAGAGTCCCTGCCAGGTGGAACTGAGTCCTCTGCTGCCTGCCACCACCTCTCCCTCCCGTTCTTGCTCCCATTAGAGAGTGCCCTGGCAAGGAGGACGTGCACGCAGGAACTTCAAGCCTGATGTTCTCACCCTCCTGTCTGCTGGCTAACATTGGCCACTCGGCCCAGGACACCTGTCTGCAGGGCCTGC